ACAATTAAATTTGTGATTTGTCTTGTACAATTTGAATAGTTTAATGTTCCAAGAAATTCAGCCTCCGTTTGACCTTCATTAATTTTCATTCCATTTTCTCTCTCTTATTTTTAACCACACAATTTTTTATAAAATAATATTACACGTAAATTGAAATCTTTTACTTCTTTTTCAACTACTCATTTTTTTAAAAAATATTATTCCATCCATTTTTATTTCCGCAAAATGAGGGCCAAACGAGGGCTCAATATGTCTTACTCTTATTAAATACGGATATTCCATTTTAAATGGAGGTCTCTAACTACATATTAGCCCATTAAAGAAATATTAGAATATGCAGTGTCAGATAAGATTAAAGAACGTGGAAGGGGCGGGGTACATCCCGCGATTTACCTTCCTCACAAAGTTTTAGGAACGGGACGGTGAGGCACTTAAGGTTGGGGTTCAACCTTTTTTTTTTTTTTTTTTTTTTTAAAAAAAGTAAGGTCACAATTTGCACTTACCAACACATGCGATAAGAGAATTACTACTGATGGATTGCAGAATACTAGACATATAGGAACAATGTAATATAATGAAATTTGTGATTTTATCTTGTATAATGTGATGTATATGTAAGAAAATGTTCAGTACATCTTGCCAAAATTGATATTTCAGTGTAGGGGACGACCACGACATATGTGCTCATTAAAGAGTTGATTATGTAGTGGTCAACATGATTAGACGATGTAATGAATTATAATCCGTATATCTTACTGAACATATGTGAACAAAATGACTCTTGCTGGTCTGCAGAATACAAGATTTATAGAAAAAAGTAACGTGATGAAACTTATTATTTACAAAGTAAAATATGATTCGTCTTACATATGCACCAAATTACGCTATAAATAAAATGTTTATAACCAAAAAATTGTGATTATGAACTGCTACGCGTTTTCCACAACGTGGTTTATACCGCAAGTGTATAATGTCAAGTTTGTAATATAGTATGGAAGTTAAGAGTGTCGAACTCACATGGATTGTAATTTAATTCTCACTAAGTACTATAATTGTATAATTTCTACTTTATTCAAATAAATGGATGATTGAATGGATGTTTTAAACTAATGTAATGTGATTCGTAGTGACAAAGTTGATGAATGCAATTTATCAATATGAAAAGGCTTAGGGGTTGATTTCACCTTACTCTCAGTTATGATTCAATGATTTTCAATTATTTAAGTTAATTTTTTCATATTTAAAATCAAGAATCCTAATATATTCCTCTTCCCACTCTCGAATGCCGGCTAGAAATTAATCCTAAATTTCAATTCTAATATCTCTATTTTGAACTGAAAATAAATAATTTATAAAAGTCCCATTTTTTTTTTTTAATGAAGTAAGCTTCACAGATTTTATAATTTCTCTCGAAACTCGTAAAACCTATATTATGTCAATCTTATGATTACGCCTAAATTTCTCTCTCTCAAGTGTCGAAATTGACTAACATCTATTCATTCAATTATTGATCAAGTTATGGAAAAACATTAAAATCATGACACAATTAAATATATGCGGGAAAATCAAAGAAATAATTATAAAATCATCAAACCCTTATCTCTAGTCTTTTGAGTAGATCTTCAATCTTCTTCTTTCGTTTGTTCTTGCCTCCCTTTGGTATCTTCAATTTTTGCTTCCTACAAATTGTGTGGTTGAATTTATCAATCTTGCCCTCCTTCAATTGTTCCCGAAAATAGGTCATTTGAATGGTATTTATAGTATCTTGAAGTTCTTGGACGAATTTGAGGTTGAGTTGGGCCAACAAAAGAGTAAAAAAAAAAAAAAAAAAAAAAAAAATCTATAAAAAATCCTTTTCCAACATAGCCGGCGCCCCAAGATGAGCGTTGCGGCGTCACCCTTGCTGTTGATTTTCAATCACATGGCCGGCGCCCGATTTGGCCGAAAAGACAAACTGCACGTCCTTCAATATACGATCGGGATGATTTAAGATGCGTTGGAAAGCTAACTCAAGGGGCTACAACTTTTCTTCAGACATCATTCTCCAATTCGATCGTTATATCTATGTCAAAAATGAGTCTCAATGTGAGACAAAAAATTTGGAGCATAACGTTTTTGGTTGGAAGTTAATATGCAATCATACTTTGACTAAATTTGATCCCTTTGATATCTTTCTTCATCCAATTGACTCCTATAAGAAAATTGTGTGCAACACAAGCCTTGGTTCTTTTCAATCTGCTACTACCTCAATAACAGTTTCTTTTAATTTTTATCATTACAATGTTCTACAATAATTTTATTTATAAAATTCCAACAATATTTGTAATTTTCTTTTTGTATTTTCCTAACATAACTATCATGCTCGATTGTAAACTACTAGTTGCATATAGGAAATGAATGATACGATGAAATTTGTGATTTATTTTGTACCAGCCCAATGTACCAAAATATTAAGGAAGATGAATATTCCATTGTAGTGGAGGACTATAATGCATATTTGTCCGTAGTAGTAGACAAATTCATTACGTCTTACTAGATGTGCGATAATTTAATTAGTGTCATATCAAGCTGTATAATACTATAGAAAAAAGTCATGTGATGAAATTTGTGATTTATCTCGTACGATATATTGTTGGAAGAATTTTGTGAATAGTGACGCCGAAATAAGTATAATGACGGTGACAAAGCCGAGACAAGAGTTGGACTCTTTGTCCTTAAGTCGAATTTGCCCCGCAACGGTGCCTACGGATTTCGACAATCGACTCCCAAGATACAACGGCTACACTTGTGTTTGTAGCACTCCAAAACACAAGTACAACGAACCAAATGTAGGCTTATGTACTCCAAAGATGAAATGAAAGAAAATCAAAATAAATGAAATGATTTTGATTTTGGATAGAAGAGAGGATGAGAGACGTTTTTGCATATCAAACTGTGTGGAATAGGACACCCAAAGGGTCCTATTTATAGACCATGAAAGGGTGTGGACGAAATGGTTGATGCCAAACCATGCACCCTTTCCAAACAATGCACCTTTATGAAAAGGTGTCTATTCACTAATGGTTGAGGCCTTTTTCGTAATTTCTCATTCATCCGATATTGGTTTTCGAAATGCCAAATATACCCTTCAATACATGCAGAGAAATCAAAATTCTCTTTCGGGGGCGTTGCCCCCGACCCCCCACGAGGGGCGCTGCCCCCTCGACCCCCGCGACCTGACAGGGCAGGTCGATCCCCGTTTGTGCGCCCCGAAGCGACGAAGTGGCAAACAATTTTGCCTAAACGGATTGAGTCGAGCTTTTGAGTATTTGGCCGAAGTCGATACGAACTTTAATCGATTTTCAATTCTCGATTTATTTAACCAATATCCAACATATATTTCATTCAATGTATGCACCAAATTAAGTTATAGAAAAAAGAAGTTTACATTAAAATTATCTACTTTTTCAAGTTTGGGTGAACAATGAATATGCAAGTGGTGATTGGTGAACCAAAATTATTTCCCTTGTTTACCTTATTTATCCCAGAGAAAAGTGCACTTGCTTCTCTCAGCATGTTTAATTAAGCTTAAAAAGTTATTTATAAGTAAATTTAAAATAAGTAAGTTTAACATAAATAATTTTTTTTTCTTGATCAAGGTAAAAAATAAATAAGCAAGATGTGACTTTCTTAAAAAAAAAAAAATCATTTAAAAGTAATAAAAAAGTAATATATTCATAACTTCACGTAAAAATATCTTTCACTTATTTCTAAGATTCTCTCAATTTAAACCAACATTATTTTTATCTAAGACAGTAGCACAAGCTCACTTTGAACGTGTTTGGCTGAGAAAAATTACACAGCCCTAATTTGGGTTTAGACAAAAATTAAATTTTTAGTAGATTTTGACAATGAAAATAATTGATGTGTGATTGAAAAATTGTAGATACATAAAATGTGCAAGTAAAATCAATAATTGATTTTGAATTATATTAATTTGCCTTTTCAAATGAACCAAACATTGCTGAATTTGTTCATAAAGCAAGAGTTGCTTTTTAAGTAATTTGTTTCATTTATAAAAGAAGTGAGACAAAAATAATATGTTTGGAATTTGTTCGTAAAAAACTTCATAAAGATAAATCACTGTAAATTGCACGACAAATAGAAATAAGACTTAGGCCATCTCCAACCATACATCAAAATTTGAGGTAAGTTTTACACTGTTTTACATCAAATTTATGTTAAATTAAAAATTATCTCCAACCATTACACCAAAACTTACACAAAATAAACAGTGTTTAATCATTTTTTCTTCTTTTTATTCTCTATAATTTATTTATTTGAAAAAATTATTTTCCTTGATTTATTTTACAAATAAATAAATTACTAAATAAATAATTATGTTAAATTAAAGAAAATATTAAATTTATTAATAAATATCAAAATTTATTTTTGAGATTTTTAAGATTTATTTTATTATTATTACTCATCATAATAAGAATTGTAATAATAAAAATTTATCGTATTAAAAATAAAATAACACAAATGACACAAATATCCTCTATCAATTAGTTTGACAAATTGAAGAAAATAGTAAATTTGACCTTGCACCATTTGATGTAAAATGATGCAAACTTTAGTGCCACATTGAAAAGATTTTGCACTTTTAGTGTATTTCGGTGATTTGATGCTTACACTTATGGCATGTTCAGTAGGGATTTTGAGAATTAATTTTTTGATTGTTAAGAGAAAAGTGTGGGCCACCTATAAAAGAAGAAGTCAAAAATTACAATTGAAATAGTAAAATAACGGTCAAAAAATCAATTTATTGGGGATAAAAAATCATTCCCAAACGAGGCCTTAGTCCTCACTTCACTATCCGTGCTGAGGCGGAAAGCATCATGTACGCAGTACGCTTTTACTCTTAACTCTCAAATTTAACCACCGTGAAAAAATTTGATTAAGAATTTAACCAAGGCTGGTTAATTCTTCTTAATCCTCCTCTATATAAATGATCTCAAATGCCCCTAGTCTCTTCACTTCCCTCAACTCCACTCTCTCTATATCTTTGTAAACTGCCCACTTCCTACGATAAAACTCTCATTTTGCAGCCATTAAACCTCTGAAAACTGAAAAAATGGCGTCTGAGTACAGTTTTCTACTTGTTCCTTCAACTGGTGTGTTGAACTTTGAGGTTTTTCTTTGTGTTCTTGCATTTCTTGCTTTATTTGCCTTCTGGCTGACCCCGGGTGGGCTTGCATGGGCAATTTCTAAGGGCCGGGCTCGAGCCAGAGCCGCCATTCCCGGCCCTTCTGGTCTGCCTGTTCTGGGCTTGGTTTTTGCCTTCACTAGCTCTCTTACTCATAGAGTTCTGTCGAAGCTTGCTCTGAGGTTTAAGGCTACTCGTTTAATGGCTTTCTCTGTTGGGTTCACACGTTTTATTATCTCAAGCCATACTGAGACAGCCAAGGAGATTTTGAACAGTTCTGCTTTTGCTGATAGGCCGGTTAAAGAGTCTGCCTATGAGCTTCTGTTCCACAGAGCAATGGGTTTTGCTCCTTATGGAGATTACTGGAGGAATTTGAGGAGAATTTCGGCTACACATTTGTTCTGTCCCAAGAGAATAGCCTGTTTTGGTAACTTCAGAAATGAAATAGGCCTCAAAATGGTGAACCAAATCAAACTTTCCATGGAGAAAAATGGTGAAATAGAGGTAAAAAAGACTATTCATTTTGGGTCCTTAAACAATGTGATGATGACTGTTTTCGGAAAGTGCTATGAATTCAACACTAAAAATGATCAAGATGGAGCATTGCTTGAGAGTTTAGTGAGTGAAGGCTATGAATTGCTTGGGAAATTCAACTGGACTGATCATTTTCCTCTTCTTGGCTGGCTTGATATACAAGGAGTGAGAAAAAGATGCAGAAATTTAGTGGCTAAAGTAAACATCTTTGTAGGGAAAATTATCGAAGAACACAGGCTGAAGAGGACAGAAAATGGAGAGTCAGCAGATTCCGATGATTTTGTTGATGTTTTGCTTGATTTGGAGAAGGAAAACATGCTGTCTGATTCAGACATGATTGCTGTTCTTTGGGTAATTTTTATGATTTCATGTTTTTATATATATGCATGCGTTTGTATAATCTAATTTTCTGGCATTTAATTGTGGGTTTGCTTTATTTTGGTATATTTTCATATCAATTTGCCATGATTTGGAGTTACACAGTGTACACTTGTGAATTGCACTTATAAATTTCTTTTATGGATATGCATAGATATGGGAATCTGAATAATTTTTTTTGCACCCTTTATTAGCAAGCTGATAGTAACACTGATATTTACCACTCTACGTCCCATCCTGTCTAGTGTTGTGTCTTGCATTGTTCAGTCGAACGTACTAAACTTTTTTTGTTGCAGGAAATGATTTTTAGAGGGACTGATACTGTGGCCATTCTTTTGGAATGGATACTGGCTAGAATGGTTCTTCATCCTGATGTTCAAGCCAAGGCTCAATTTGAACTTGACACTATGGTTGGGACTAATAGAACAGTGACTGATTCTGATCTCCCTAAACTGCCCTACCTTCTAGCCATTGTTAAAGAAACTCTCAGGGTGCACCCTCCTGGTCCCCTCCTTTCATGGGCCCGTCTTGCGATTCACGATACTCATGTGGGACACCACTTTGTCCCGGCTGGCACTACCGCCATGGTTAATATGTGGGCCATAACGCACGACGAAAAGGTCTGGCCCGAGCCTAATGCTTTTCGACCCGAAAGGTTTCTTGATGAGGATGTTGCCATCATGGGGTCTGATCTGAGGTTGGCACCTTTCGGTTCCGGGAGGAGGGTTTGCCCTGGTAAGACGATGGGCCTTGCTACAGTCCACCTTTGGCTAGCCCAATTGCTTCAGAAGTTCCAGTGGGTGGCTTCGGATAATGGAGTCAATTTAGCCGAATGCCTCAACTTGTCAATGGAGATGAAGCAGCCATTGGTATGCAAAGCTATTCCTAGGATTTCTTGAAGGAAGTTTGCAAATGTCGTCAAGTGTTTTGTTGGATTGGAAGTGTTACATTTCATATGGTGGGATCTTTGTGCATTAGTAGTAGCTATTAGTATTCTATGAAAGACGGTTTCGCTTTACTATATTAAAATTTGAAAAAAAAAAATCCTAAAAAAGAAAAGAAAAGAAAAATTATGGGCCTTTGCTGTGTTAACAAGAAAATTTAGTTTTGGTGAGTTTTTGTTTGAATCTGTCTGATTAGAAGTCTCATGCTTTGTACACAGCTTTTCTTGAATGGAAACCAGTGCGATATTAGATATATTATCTTACAATTTCAATGTCCAATTTAAGTTCTTGTACAATGTATTCATAATTTTGGCTTATTTGTTCATTCGAAATAAAATTGGAACGATACACGAGAGATAATGACATGAAGAAATTGCGCGAATTCGCCCCGAGCCCCCCTGCCTCCTCCCTCCTTTTGGGTACAAACATAGTCATTCGATTCAATCAATTTTCCTTGTCGTTTTTGCCCAGATATGTTCAAAACTTTGTTCTTGTGAAAATATACAATGTTTGGGCAAGATTTACCATGTTAAACCATACGAAATATAACTATATATTAGGAGAAATTTGAGACCATATTATTTTGTCTATGTTTAGGGCTAAGCTAATTGCATTTACTTTAATTCTTAAAATGAACGAACATTCTTGACTTTTAAATTAAGCAATTTTATAACCTTTTATCCAAATTTTGCCGCCTCTTAATAAACCATGCACATGCAATTTTAAGGCACAATTAAAAAACAAAAATTATAAGGTGGAGCTTTGTTTTTTAATAATTAGTTAAACCTGTGTTTTTCAGTTTATTTGTTTAGTCTTTACGTTTATTGAAAATAAAATTGCTTTTTTTTTTTTTTTTTTTTTTTTTTTTAAAAAAAAATTTTTTTTTTTTTTTTTTTTTTTTTTATATCTAAACATATTCTCCTCGACCCATATCGCTTGTACAATTGTTTAAATGTGGCAATAACTTTTCCTTTAAACATTTTAGAGTAATGCTATTCAACACCACTAATATTTAACACCAGTTCAAGTGACATTGTTAGTGGGATTAAATGAAATATTGAATTAGATGAATCATATAATTTTACCTTTTGTTTAACGTGTTATATAATGCCACATAGATTGGTGCTTTAACATCACTTGTGATAAATAGCATTATTCAACATTTTAATACAGTGACACAAGATTCATCAAGTTGGAATACATTAAAAAGCATTAATTATGAACATAATATTCCTTCCAAAGACAGATTTGCTTCTCTTTTTCGTCGTCCCAAATTATGTCACCTTTCTTGTTGAGTATATATATATATATATATATATATATATATTCCCTCCATTCCATAAAGATAGTCCTATTTTCCTTCTTCGCTTGTCCCAAATTATCGTCATGTTGCTTATTTGAGAGTGTAGTTAATATATAGTAGTTTCCTAGTTCGCCCCTATTTAATGTACGTTGTTATCACTAATATAATTTAATTACCTTAAATATTGATTGCATTAATGTAAGTGTATATTAGGAAAAATGATAGCAAAATTTGTTATTTCAACTATATTAATTAAATTTTCTTAATCTGAGTGAAAAAAAAGGAAATAGGACTATCATTATGGGATGAAGTGAGTAATACATATATATAATGATCTTATTTAATCAATGTACCTTGTTATCTACATATATAAACTACTCCTATTTAAACCATTGTTTAATTTAATGTTATATTAGAAAAAAAAATGTAATGAAAATTTATATTTTTAATTATTTTAATTACATTTTCTTAATTTTAGTGAAAATAGATACAAATATATCTTTATTGGGCAAAAAGAATATATCGCATTCAAATCAAATCACAACTAAGAAACCATGAGTATATAAACTTTTAGGCCGTATTTGAGCCACATTATTTACAAAAAAATGCATTTTTCAACAGTAATTTGACATTATTTTAACCACACATTTTTCAATAAAATGATATCACATGCAAATCCAAAACTTTTCTCTTATTTTTTAACAACACGTTTCCCATTAATACACTATTCAAAAATACATTTTTATTTCAATAATGTGGCTCAAACAAGGACTTCATTTCTAATTACACATATAACAAGCCTTCACGAAGTAAAAAATAAAAATATAATATCATTTTTATTAGTCACAATTAAACTATAATTTATATAAATTCTTTTGCCCTTCTTTTTACTCTCTCTTTATTCTCTCACTCACACTTTGTGCTCCATTCCCCTCATGCATTTTTGAATGGAAGAAATAAAGCAAACTAGAATCTCTTTTAGGAGAATGGATTATTAGGACAGAGATTTTTATTTCTTTTCCCCTTTCCTTTTTGCTTTTTTATTACAATGTAGAACTTAGCATGATTGAGGAATAAGAACCTAAGTCCAATAATGATATGGCTTTTGTGGGGACGCAAATCCTCTTTCAAGAATATTTAATTTAGAGTTATACATGAAAGCAAAAGCTTCTCTCCTTTTAGTTTTACTAACCTACATTGGCATTTGAATATCCCTAAGTTTTCAATTTTTACTGTTTTTTTATTGATTAAATCAATGCAACTTGATTTGTCTAATCTTTTTCCCAATCACCCTCATCTTTACTAATATTATTCTTCCAAGTTCTAATTAATGTGCCAACCGCGTACTCGTACCATTAGTAGCATATTTTCGAAAGCATACTAAATCACAATGGATAATATTTGTGAAAAAAGAGTTATTCTTTTTCACTGTATCGCGCATGCGCACTAAACTAATAAAACATATCTTTACATGTTTTCATGTACTTGTGGGTTTACTAGTTTACAATATTACATGTATGTTTGGATAAAAGAGTTTATAATTTATATATTCTATATAATTGAGCTGACCTAAAATTATTTTAAGGCAATATAACAACTCGAATAAAAGTAATTCCTAATGAAAGGGTAAATAGCATAAAAAGTCCTCATCATTTGCACTCATTGTGCAAATTGTCCCTAATGTTCCAAATTTGACATTTACACCCTAATTGCAGCGTTTTCTTTTCACGTTAGCTATTTTCATCTCATTCTTTCAATTCCCTCGTTAATTATGACTAATTTGCGCAAAACTTCCTTATTGTGTGCCTTTATTACGCAAGTCATCCTTATAGTTTTAATTTTGATGTTTGGACCATCAGATCAAACTTTCTTTACGAAAAATCCTTGTCGTCCATTTTATCCATTAAAATACTATAAAATGGCTAATTTATCCTTATATTTAATAAACAAATAGAAAAAAAAAGAATATAAAAAAATAGTTGCAGCAAGAGTTCCAAATTTTTTAAAAAGTATAAACGAGTTTCACAAAAAACAATTTAAAATGTACTAACAAAAAAAATATTTCATCTTCCCAATTAAACCCATCTTCCCCTTACCCTACCCCACCCCCTACCAACCAACACCGCTATCAAAATAATTCAGAAGAGAATTAAATGTATAAAAAAATTTAAGAAAATAATTAACAATTGAAAAAAAAGGCTCTATCCCATCCAATTCAGTACCATGCCACCAGCCACCACCAATACCAACACCCGTTCTCCCCATCCCAATGCAACACCATCCAGAGATTTAGCTATTTTCAATAAATCCTTATTTCTAACTTGTTGATCACACACACCCATTCCATCAGCTTATGAATTTTGTTTAAGTTTTCACAAAATGATGTCTAGAGGGGTGGGGGGGGGGGGGGGGGGGGGAAGGGGAGGAGAAGTTTCTTCTTTTAGTAGAAGTTTCATTAATTCAAGATTTTAATCCAAACCCGAATCCTAATTCTTCTAATTCAAAACCAACTAAGAGGAAAAGAAATCCTTTTTTTCTTGAAAGATGATTTTTTTTTTGTTAATATGTTATAAATTATATTAAGTGGATTGTTTCCTCTATTTGAACATTTTAGGACTTTGATAGTGTTGATGTCAAAAAATCGCTGATTATGGTTTTGAGCCAACTTTTTGAAAAAGGGGACCTTGTTTTTTGTTCTTTATTGATAATGAGGGTTACACGTACAAATTTTGTGCGAGTCCATCGCCCCTTTTTCTCTTGATTCTCTTTCTATTTACAGGGGGATGGGTTTAAGTTTCTTCGAATTATGTCTTGTCAATCAGATCAAACATAGTGTCGAGTTTGATTTTTGTGCCGCCTTTTTCTTTCTTGATTGGCTAATGAGGTCAGCTCCCATCAAATCATAATAATAGTCCCTTTTGTTAGGAAATCATGAGCTGCTTTAGAATAAGTAGTTATAGTAGATAATTGGTGCGTTCGGGTTCCTCCAAGTGCGTCTGACTGATTAGGTGAATTGACAAGGTATACGGAATATATAATCATTATGTCTCTTGAAATTACGACAATTGCAAGACCGAGCTGATCTTATAAACCTGATTTGGGGCATATGCGAGATAGGTGCCAGCTACATTTTAAGTGAGCCCGTAGATCAATGGTCAACAGGTACCCCCAGGTTAGTGCTTTCCTAGGGAATGAATTGACCTTTGAACTCAGATGGCTCACCTTTCCTCTTGTTATCATTTTCTGCATTTGATAGGAATACCAATTGTCGTGATTTGTCCTTTGTGAGATGTTCCACACTTTTGATTTCTTCTTTTAGAAGTTTTGTCAAATCTACATAGTTTTGACTTGGCAAATCTGTGCCCTTCATTTCTTCATTTAACAGCATATAAGGAGTCCCTGGTTTTCCATTACTTTAAATACCCTTTCCCTTTTCAATTTCACCACTTTTGCTTTTGTTTTCAGTTTTCTTCAGGGAAAAAGAGAAATACTTTTGTGCGCCACTTTCCTTTCTAAGCGAGGTCTTCCATTCCCAGTTTTCACGTATTTCTCTTACCAGAAAGTTCCTCTATTTCTTATCTCGTTCTTTTACCTTGGTTATTACATGAGTTCTGACGAATCTAGAGTACACTCATGGGACAACCAACAAGAAGAATCGATTCCTTTTCGAGCTATCAAGAAATCCAAACCCCTATCCCCATTTTTGTAGTTAACCCGATAGATTTAGGTAGTCCCACAAACACGGAGTTAGATTTGGAGGGTTCTGGTGGAGAGGAGGTCGGGTTGCATGGGGACTGTAAAGAGAATAGTTTAGAGGAGTGGAGGGCGAGCTCCTATAGGTATGTGGTGACAGGGGATATGTTGGCGAGCTGGAGGGCAAAGTATGGTATCCCTAGTTCAGTAGAAATGGTAATTCCTAAACCATCTGATCCAGCCAACGCTCCCCTAATGGGAT